TCTCTCTCCCTCCCTCCCTCCCTCCCTCCCTCTTTCCCATCTCCCATCTCCCTCCTCCCTTCCACTTTCTATGTGTGTGTGTGTGTGTGTGTGTGTGTGTGTGTGTGTGTGTGTGGCAGGGGTGAGGGGATCAATGGAAAAGAATATCCTCTCTTTGAGGGTTAAAAGTAAATAAAATAAAAGAGCTTAAAACCTAGTGAAGGGCAAAGATACATACTCATAAACCCAAAGATACAATGAAATATGTAAGTGCCAAAGGAGTGAGAGTGAGATTAAAGGAGTTGGTATTCAGAGGAGGGAGGGAATCCCTGTGAGCTGAATGGTGGGGAAACCCCAGAACTGGCCCGGGGAGTTATTTTTCACTGAAAATCAACGGCTCCACAAAAATGCATCGGCAGAATGGGGGAGAGGCAGTAAAGTGATGATTAGAATACGTTATATAACTAAAATGATTTTATGATTAAATCATTTTGTGAATGTTGTTTAATTTTAAATTGAAATATCTATATGCTCAGCAGAAACACTAAGACATGAATCCATGAGTAAGTTCCAAAGAGTAAATTCACTAACAAGAAAACAGGAATATTTCCATTTCTTACGGCTTTCAAACCATTAAAATATTTGGGGGGGAAAAAGTGCCCTATCAGGTTCATAAAAATGGCAGTATATTTTTAATGTTTTTACATTACAAATGATCACCTTATAACACACAAATAATAATAGCCAATGTTTGTTATTTCTAGGGTTTAGAAACACCCACAATATTCTTGCAACCTCAATGACTCCATAAGGTATTTATGAATTACTAGAGGCCTGATGCAAGAAATTCGTGCAAGAGTAGGCCTTGCTTCCCCTGGCTGCCAGAACCTGCTTCCCTCTGGCACCCGGATCCAGGCTTCCCTCCAGCTGCAGGCAGGCACCCGGGACCTGGGCTTCCCTCACAGCCCCGGCTTCATCCAGAAGGTCATCTGGAAGGACATCGGGAAGGATGTCTGGTCTAATTAGCATATTATGATTTTATTATTATAGATATTATCTCTATTGCACAGATGAGATGCTAAGTCACAGAAAAATTGGCTGAGCTGCCTAAAGTCACACAACACTAAGAGATGGAGCCAGAATTAGAAAGCAGGCAGTGTGACTCTAAAACCCACACTTTCCACTATACCATAAAATTATCTGTAGATCCTCATTTGGAGAAAATGTCCAAGTTTAAATTAACACCTTTCAGGAATGTGACACACTCACATCCTGGCACACACACATACACATAGTTTCCATAAGAGGCTTTGAGAAGTTAAACAAGCAAACAACTTAGAAAGATGTGCAGGTCTGGAAGAAATACATTCTTATCGTCAAAAGGTAAGAAGTTGGGGCTCAACTCCTGGATGTAGAAAAGCATCAAAAGAAAAACGTCCCCCTATCCGGAGACCAACAGTTAATGCCTACATTTCTGTGCTAAGCTCTCTCCCTCGAGCATAAAATTCTACTTCCACACAAGCATGGAATAAAATTACACCAACTAATTGTGTCCTCCAGCTCCGCATAGGTTACCTCCCGCAAGTGCAAAGAGACGCAGTTTCTGATAATTAAGCCTCAAAATTAACTTCCTATTAAGATAAATGAAGAAAGTACATTCCCCCCAGTGATAATGTTTTAGTCTGCTGTTGAATCAGCAAAATTAGCAAAATTAGCAGAGATTGATTTATATGTGAAAAAAGAGGGAGGTGGGAGGTCAGGGAAGTGCCTCATGGAAAGGAAGGCAAATCTAGGTCATAGTTCATGATCTCAAGCACATGAACAAAAATATAGTTTATTTATGTCTGTGAACTCCCAATTGCTTAACATCTGACCTCAGCAAGACAGGCTTCATATCAGGAAACCCTGTCTTTAGTCCAGTTTCTGCCACTTACTAGTGCCATGACCCTGGGAAAGGCAATTGACCTCTCTGAGTTTCATTTTTCCCACCATTAAAATGGGGATCACATGCCAACCTCACTATTAGGAGGGCTGGGGGGAGGAAGGTCCTCAGGAATATATGTATCCAAGTCATATGGGGACGCCATAGGCCACAAATGATGTAACTTTATTTCATCATTAATGTGAACAGAGCCAACCATTCTTGTATAACTTTATTTCTTCCACCTGAATAATTCAATTCAGATGACAAATTTTACAAACAGCTCAAGCCGGGAACTGAGGGTCAGTATGGCTTGCTTCCAAGCCAAAATTGTTAGAACCAAAGGTTCTACTCTTAAAAGCAGGACCCCTCAAGCCTGCCATTATCTGGATAAAAGTGAGTCTACTAATTTAGAAACACCACTGAGTTTATTCCTGGCTAACTAAAGTCATCCTTCTCAAAGGACTAAGCAGAATGAATTATCTAATGACTGAGAACATTATATGCTACAAGCTGATTTTGAAATGTTAGTAAGATAAGCTAAGTTGTTTTAAAACGCAGGGAATACTACTGTGTGGTGACCAAAGGGGAAAACGAGATAGAATTGAAATACTGTATTATCAAGTACTAACTCTGGCTTGCTTGGGGAAATGGAATAAGAGACCTGTCTTCTGTCACTAGAAGGAAGTGTGCCCAGATGGCAAATACTAGTAGCTCAAACTGCAAAGAAGAAACCATCCCAAGGAGCTAAGGAGTGAGAGGGGGAGGAGAAGACAAGTGTAGTTTCTTCAGAAAATGGGTTATTTCTGTCTCCTTAAGCTCACAGGTAGTACATAGAACTGCCTAGACCTCCTGGAACTTTTATTAGAAGTTGAGGACTAAAGCATCAATCACTGTAAACCACAAGAAAACTCATGGAAAGATTCGATATCACTTAATTTCTTAAATACTTAAATGATTTGAAAGTCATTGTTTTAACCCCCATTATTCTGTACATCCATTTCCTCTCCTCTTAAATTCCCATTTTACTTCCATCATATCCACATTGTTTTCCCCTGCATTTATTCTACAGTCTTTCTCCAAATTTTCATATTTTTAATGAAGTTTCTCAAAAGTTTCTTCATAACAGATGGCTATAAGGATTGAAATGTTTATTACATAAATATTATAACAGGAATCCATGTACAGTTTTAAAATGAGAAGTAACTGTCTACAATTCCATGGTGTCACTCAACAATTATTTTCCAAGTCATAAACTTATATAAAAATAGTTTTAATCTAGTTTAAGTACAATGTGGAATTCTATTTGTATATGTAACACTATAAATACTTCCATGTTAAATTTATTTCAATAAAAATTACCAATTTTTGTATATCTTAAGCTAACTGATTAACCAGGTTTCTTTTTTTACTATTTAGATTAACCAGCTTTTTGAAATATATAGAATACTTTCTTCTTCTAAAATAACTTTAAAAAATAGCACAACGTGAACAATTATAATGGTAGTCATAACAGTGTCACAGTCCTAGCTGCCACATATGCCTATGTAGATTGAATATGGGTCAGCTCTAGAGGCCATCACTGATACTTCTAGTCACCATGGATTTATACTTAGAGAAGTCACTACTCCGAGAGAACAGGAAAGTATCTAAATTAGGGTTGGCTTTATCTGACTCACAGGATTGGTTTAATGATGGGCTTCTCCAATTTACTAAATCTATACCATGTGCCAACCTTTGTTAAATAAGCTTTTCCCACATTACTTCATATACCAGTAATCCTCTCAACAATCCTATGGCAGTAGAATCTCTTATGTCAACCCCATTTTACAGATGAGGAAACTGAGACCTTATTTCACTTAGTTAGCAAGTGGTAGGATAAGACTAAGTTCTTCCTGACTCCAGAGTCCAAGTTCACCCAACTCAACTGTTAAATTCTATGTTATACTGATTTTTAATAAATATCAATATCTGTATCACACACATTATCTACACACCAAATGGTGATTTTCGTCTTTTAGATTCTCTTCTCAAAGATAAAATTACAAGGTCATATAAATCTACTTTTGTCAGCAATAATATAGCTAAGTTTCACTACATGTTTTCATCCATCATTTTTTCCTTTTTTATTTTTATTTTTTAATTTCTTTATTGATTAAGGTATCCCACTTTGTCCTCAACCCCCATTCCAATCCCCCACCCATCTCCACTCATGCCTCCACCCCCCTATTGTCCTTGACCACTAGTTAGGCTCATATGTATGCATACAAGTCCTTTGGTTGATCTCTCCTTTTTATCCCCACCCTCCCACTGAGGTCCAACATCTGACCCATGGCTTCTTATCTCTGGGTCTATTCTTGTTCATCAGTCTATGTTGTTCACTATTTCCCATAGATGAGTGAGATCATGTCCTACTGGAAATATACTTATAAGAATCAAAAATGAGACAAGCAATAATGGTTATGCTGAAAGGCAAATGAATCAGTCTGTAGTGAGTTTCTTTCTGGGCCAACAGTTTTTTTGAGACCCAATTTCAATGTCAAACAGTTCCTTAGTTCATCCATCCTTTAGAAAATATTTGCTGATCAACTACTACTCTTCTAGGAGTTGGAGAAAGAGCAATGGCAAATAGACCACTTTCTTAACTTGAAGAAGCTTAAAATTAAGGGGGAGCTGACAAGACAGATTATGGCCTATTATTTATTTTTCCGGCTGTTAACCCTCACCTGAGGTTATTTTTCCATTGGTTTTTAGAGAGAGGGGGGAGATACAAAGAGAAACATTGATGTGAAGAAGATACATCCATCAACTGATTGCCTCCTGAGGTATTTACACAACTGAGGTACATACCCTTGACCAGAATTGAACCCAGGATCCTTCAGTTCACAAGCCGATACTCTAGCCACTAAGCCAAACCAGCTAGGGGTAGGATGTTATTCTTATCCCTGTTTCTAACCTGGTGTATTATAGATAAAATGTTAACCTCATTATTTAGATTTATGTTTTTTATAAACAGTCATGGTGACCTTGGATCCTGGTGAACTCTAGTGACTGCTGCCTTAGAGTGTACGGAGCGATGGTGGAATTGAAACAGAAAAGGCAAAACATGGTCAGGAGTTATGTTCCCCTTCTGAACACTTCTTCAGAATTCAATCTGCTGAACTATGCGAACATCACAGTATGAACACTTCTATAGCACTTTGTTTATACAATAGCATCATGCTTTATGGTTTAGTTACTTGTGTGTGTCATTTATAGAATTCTTCCAGGCAGCACTCACATTACGTGAAACATTTTAAAATACTGGTTTTTGTGGGCACTCAATAAATATTTGTTGTTAAATGAATGAAAATACTTCCTGAATGACCAGTAATATAAAACAACTGAATAAAATAAAAGAATTGGTGATCTATCTCTCTCTCTCTCACACACACACACACACACACACACACACACACACACACAATCTTTTTCTAAAGCAAGCCTTAGAAATCACGACTCCACAATTGTTATTTAAGACGCCAAATATGCAATTATTTGTAATACCGCTTTGCACTCTTTCCAAATCTGAGCTGATCTTAAATATCAGTTTTGAAAAGCAGGCATTCCTAGGTGCCTCCTCATAGCATCTGATCTAGTTGGACTAGGAATCTATTTTTAATGAATTTTCCAAGTGAGTCTTATAATCAGGCAACATTTTTAAGAACTATTGTTGAAAGATGTGGGACATGATAGAACTTGCAATGGATTTGAAATATGAAAAACTAGAGAGTCCTGCATAGGTGAGCACAATTCCTAGTCCTACTTAATGCTGATTTAACAGATAAGATTTGGGAGTTACTTATATGCCTGTTAGAAATGGCTTCGATCTACTGTTGATTGCCACCCTCAGTTTTGAAAATGGGTATGTGACATGTCCATGCAGAGGAGAAATAATCACTGAAGTTCCTCAACAAGACAGATGTCACATATAATAGAAATACTATAATTAGACTAGCAGAAGGAGTTTCCTATTAGACAGTGCCCTCCTGAATATAGAATTTGAATTAAATAATGCCCATGCTATCTTGTCATGAGTTGTTCATATACAACTATACTCATAAACACATAAACTTCAACAAAGCTCTGTGAAATAGAGCAATTTGATTCCTGTGTATAACCCAGCAGATGTCTTTATATGTTTTCAATCGTGTCCAAGAATGCAGGAATGTACACAGACAAGAATGCTCACAGCAGCCATATTCATAACAGCCTCAAGCCAGAAGCAACCCAAATGTCCGTCAGCTGTAAAATAGTGAAATAAAGGGAATATGGTACAGCAATGACAATAAACAAATTATTGTTCAAATAACATGAATGATTCTCACAAACATATTTGTGTAAAAGAAGCCAGCCTTCATAGACACATATTGCACAATCTCATTTATGTAAAGTGCGAAGCCAGGCCAGCTACCCATTGGGATTAGATGTCAGCACACTGATTATCTGGGATAACTGCTTCCTGGGAGAGGGCCTAAGGGGGCCTCTGCTGGTAGCTTTATCAGATGCTGGTCATATGGGCATGCTAATTTTGTGAAAATGTATTGAATTGCACACTTGTAATTTTTGCACATTTCTGTAAGTATGCCATCTCACTAATACAACCATTACTTTGAGAAAAATACCTAAATATGTTTCTCCTCCAATTCTGCTTGTTCATATAATAGGGGAATGGCTGTTGGTTATCTCCACTGATGCACAGTCTCCTGTCCTACAGAGAAGAGCTACAGAGAGTTTGTATAGGAAATGCATGACAATTTTCAAATGCAAGATTATGCCTTTTATCTACTTCCAGTCTATTATTTACTTTGAATGCGTTTTCCAATAATGGCCCTGTATCTTTGTGCTGATTCATCCTCTTGACTCTCTGCCTGATCCTCTGTAAGAAGATAGAACAGAGAGAAGAATCTATAACTCATTTATGTCAATGGTTCTAATGAAGTCTGTGAAAGAATAGACAAGGGCTGGGTTCTCTAAGGGTCACCTCTGTCGGCTCTTTCCCTGTCAGCAGTCACGAACAGCCACTGCTTCCAGGACAGGGCGCCCTGTGCCTCAATGTGTTGACAAGGCATGTTTATCACTGACTGGAATGACAGGTCACTGGGTCAAGAGCCCTATTGTGGATCAGGACGGCGAGGGTGGCCCTGGGATGGAGCTGAGAAGCTGCTGAAAGATCAGTAATGGAAAACAGCTTGGATAGCAAACAACATGGGAGTTGCCAGAGACCTCCATCCATTTCTTTTTACTGTTTGGGGGGAACCTCTCTCCAGTCCTTTGGTGGGCTCTCCCATCCAACAGTCAGTACCTACAGTTTTTTTCTCAGAGGATTTAAGGGCTCCAGAGGTTCCCCAGCAAATGCAGCGAGCAGGAAGCCTGGGAATCTGTATCTCCCCGGTGGGGGAACATGCAGCAACAGCTCCCTCACCTCTGCTTCAGGGACCCCTAAGTCAAGATCAGGACCAGGGTGAGGTAAGAGAGGAAAACAGTTTAAAGGGGAGCCAAAAAATTCGGTAATCAAGATAATATTTCAGTGCAATGTTTTTAAAAATCAGAATGAACGTAAAATCCATGATGATCAAAGTATCATCATTTTACATAAAGACAGGAGCCGCTTTGCAGAGTTTTTCTTTTACCGCAGCCACCAAAGTGGGAAGACACCTCTAGGGGGAGCTCTGGAGCATGCCACACTCAGAGACGTGTCCTTGAACCAGAATGGAACCAGAGGTGAAAGGAAAAATCAGCAAAACCACTCCTGTCTTTATTTCAAATGGCGATATTTTGATCATCACAGATTTTATCTTCATTCTTATTTTTTAAAATATATTTTTATTGATTTCAGAGAGGAAGGGAGAGGGAGGGAGAGAGAGAGAGAGAGAGAGAGAGAGAGAGAGAGAGAGAGAGAGAGAGAGAGAGAGAGAGAGAGAGAAACATCAATGATGGGAAAGAATCATTGATGGGCTGCTTCCTACACACTCCACATTGAGCTTACAACCAGGGCATGTGCCCTGACCAGGAATCCAACCAAGACCTCGTGGTTCATAGGCTGACATTCAACCACTGAGCCACGCCAGCCAGGCTGTTTGTTCTGATTTTTTAAAATATTGCACTGAAATGTTATCATGATTACCGGATTTTTGGCAGGGAGGGGCCATTTGGGGTTTTCTTTTGCCTCATAGGACCTAACCCCCTCCCCAGGCTCCTTTTCTCACCTCCGCCCAGTTTGCAAAGGGCACCTCTCCCAGAGCTGGCACCTTCCAAGACTGCCTCCAGAGGCGCATGCTCACTCTGAGCCCTCTCCCTGTGCTCTTGTTCACTGCTGTTACATTTCCTGTGGTCTTCCTTTGTCTAGCAGTGATGTTAGCTCCATCTCCTTTTCTTCCCTTTCACACAATAGGACCCTCAGCCCCATCCCACTCTAACCCAACTTATGGGAAAGCTTCTGAGGAAAGCAGTATTTGGTTTTTACCCATAGGTAAGTGGACCTTGTTTTGGGATTTGTGCACTCTTGTTTCTCTTGCTGGTTGGTAAATTAAAGGGTATTTGGAGAGATTTGGATTTCAACAGCTGCCATTATCTTGGACACTGGAAGCCCCCCAGCCCACCCCAGTTTTTGACTCCTTTTTGAGAGTCTGCTGAAGCCAGAACCCTCCCCGTCTCAGCTGCCTCCCTTTGACCTTCTTCCTGAACCCTGTCTCCCATCCTCAGGCCGACCGCCTCAGCAGTAGAAAACGTAAAGCAAAGGAAAGTGCGTAGACCTGAGCATTCCAAGTGCAATATCCCCTTCACAGAAAATAATAACCTCCCCTAAAAATATTTTACAATGCCTCGCAATTCACGAGGCTCCGATGTGGAATCAAAACCCTGTCACATAAAAAGCTCTAACTACACATGTAAACAAGTCTACACCCTAAGTGGGATATTACGTTGGATTCATGTCTTTAAATTTATTTCATTACCAGCTATCTCGTGGCAAATGAAATGCTGGGAAGCTGGAATGAGAAGTGACTGCTCCGGTTTCCCGGCTCAGGAGTTTCGTCTCGCACATGTGAGCTGCCATCTCCTGGCGAAAGCGCTTCTGTGCATCTGACCCACAGCAAGCACTTTCCCCGAAAACAGCCCAGAATAACATCAGCTGGCCCACTCATTTCTGAACTCAATATAAAAAGTGAAAAGTCCTTTTGTTATTATTTAATCGGTTAAAAACATGAGTCTGTGACATAAGTGCTGGGGATTATATCAATGTCAGGTTCCTGGTTTGGACATTGTATTGCAGTGAGGCGAGATGTTAACATGGGGGGAGGTAGGGTGATGGATGCAAGAGGCCTCTGGGTACATTTCTTTGCAACTTCCTGAGTATTTATAATTATTTAAAAACATTAAAAAAATTTTTAATGACAAAAACAAAGTTTTTCCTATAGGAAAAGATTTTGGTTTGAAAGAGAGGACAGCACTTACTAGCTGAGATCCAAGAGACAAGCTGTGCCGACACACTGCCCAGCAACCTACAGCCCATGGCAGATGATGTCATCGAGAAATGCTTCACGTGCATCGGAGAAACTGATCTGCACCGATACCCAGAGCCGCAGGGGTGGCTGTCTCATGACTTCAGCTGACACTTGTCCTGAAGTGCTTGTCTTCATCCAAACCTGCCAGCTGGGCAATGTTTCTGAGCACACCTCCTGTACTGGGCAGTCATGGCCTGTGTGTGACAGGCTGAATAAAAGCCCCCATGATAGCCAGCCCTAATCTCTGGGTCCTGTACATGTCACCTTGTTTTGCAAAGGGGCCTTGGCAGTTGTTGTGAAGGATCTGGAGGTGAGGAGATCATCCTGGCTTGTCCAGGTAAGTCCTAAATGCAATCGCCAGTGTCTTCATAAGAGACAGACAGAGAGAGATTCTGCACAGGCGCACTCCCAGGTGAAGGCCATGTGAAGGCAGAACAGAGAAAGGTCTGCAGTTTCTGATGTCGGAGAGTGGAATGAAATGATGCAGCAACCTTCCAAGGAATGCCAGCAGCCCCAGGAATGCTAGGCCGGACCAGGCAAGGAGCAGATTTTCCCCTAGAGCCTCTGGATACCTTGCTTTCAGCCCAGAAATACCAAATGTGGAATTCTGGCCTCCAGAACTGTCAGAGGAGAAACTG